CTTCTGTGATGCTACTGTAATGCTCACTCTAACAAAGAATCATTATCCTACATTTCTTTTGGGTTCATGTTTGGGAGTTTTCTTTCAGCTACCTCCACCTCACATCCAAAGAGGTTTCCAGTCGAAGCCCTTCTAGTGTCAGAAGTGTTTAACTCCCACACTTGAGCTCACAGGGGCCTGAGGCATGACTGATTAGAAAGTACAGGAAAACAGAGTGAGAGAACACCAATTCCAGAGACAACTAACACAGATACAGCCATTCTTTGAGAACCAAGCTACTTCCAGCATGGTAATAGTACTCCATAGTTTCATTTTGAAGGGTGTGAATAATTATACTTCCTCCTCTAATTTTCCCTTTACCACCACCCCAAGCTTCTTAGACTGCCCAAGGCCTTAGTTTTCTGACACAAAAACATGTTCAGTAGTCCTTGGAGCCTCAGGAGCCCATCTCTGAGTCAGACTGCAACCTTCCTATCAAGGGCTATATCAGCACAAAGGATCCCAGAAACTTCCTCCCTTGGAGAAATATAATTCTTACAACAAGTGAATTTTCAAAATATTGATAGCAGATTCCCAAACAGCTCAATCATGTCTTCACCTCTTGATTAAGGGCAGGAAAAGACAACTGCAGGAACATGGTGTGTATCAAGGAAACATGTCAGCTGCAGAGCATCCCATCAGTATGTGCTGACACATACCAAAACCTGGAGCTGCAGCAGTAACTTCCAGTGCTCTGGCCCTGCTTGTTTTTGACTCAGGAGAAGTGCCAGAAGTCACTGGACAAAGTACTCACTGGGAAGATTGAAGAAGAAAAGTGAGAATGGCCATGTAGTGTCATGAACAGGAATCACCTTCCCACCATCTCATCTCTTCCACAGCCTCTCCCGGGCAGAGGCCAGAAAACTCTGCTGTGACAGAGCTGCTGTTGCCTCACATAACTGAGGTGCTACCAAGATCCCATGTTAATGGCAAAAGGACACTGAACAGTGTTAACAACAGTCTGATTCAGTCCTTGAAAAAAAACAAACCCTTCACACCCACATAGATCAGTGTCAGACTCAGAGCAAAAAGCCTCATTCCCGTTGAGGACCATATTAAATCCAGAAAGCTCCGGCTCTCCCAACCTGAAGCTGCACCCGGCAGGAGGTTCCCCCCACAGGTCCAACATTGTGGCTGGGGAAAGTTTTCCCACACAGATTTTCCCATCAGAAAGTGAAGCTGTTAAGACATTTGCCAACAACAAAACTCCACCGCTCAGGGGGAAATTAAAACATACAAAGATTGCTTCAACGTGTGATATTTGACTGAGCACTTGAATTTTCTTTTCATGACACCCACCAGTGATTTTTCCCTCCCTGCAATTTTTTTACTTTCCCCTCTGCTTTAAACTAGAATAGGAGATTCTCTCATGGCAGAGTTCCATTGAACTAACTAACTAAATAAATAAATAAAATCTACCAGCTTTCCCAACATCATTGTTTAAATCAGCTTTATGTGGTTTTATACAACACTTTATAGAGTTGGAGAGGGGCACGTTCCCCTGACAAAGCATCAGCTGCCCAAACCACTGAGGCATGGGAAAACTGTGTGAGTGTGAACTGGGGAAGGTCTTTGGTGAGCAGAGACACAGCCCACACTGCTGTAAGCGTGGTAGCTCAGAACAAAGATCTGCAGGCTAATAGATATGTAAGACAAATGACATGTGGTTCTCATTGCAGCTCATGCTTTGGGAAGGGGGTACCTTGGAACAGATCCAGCTGGGATAGGTTTATCCCATTACTCTCCTATAATTTTCTGCCGTTTCAAACCCTTTGACAGTTACTGTAGTTTAACATCACACCCCCTACAGCCCGAGGCCTCTCTGACAGCCCCGCGGACAGACCCACCCCCACCCGGGGCCGAAACCCGCACCAGATGCGAGAGCCGTGCGAGGCACAGGGCTGGTGCCCGCTCTGTGCCTCTGACACCCGATGGAAATCCGTATCCCAATTCCCTGCCCAAATAAGCGGTGCTAAAACAGAAGCCCTCCTCCACAGCAGCACAACTCACACGGACTAGCTATTAGCAAGAGGAGGAGGAAAAGAGGTAGAGACAGGATGGACGAGCCCTGAATATTAAATCCCAAGTCCCCATTTAAGGGAAAGGCAGGGGGAAAAAAAAGAAAAAAGTGAAATTCAAGAACAACTGGAATCAGGTTAAGCCACTCTCTTGCTTTATACAGTGCAGCTCATTCATCTGAACAGCTGTTTCACCTCTAGAGAAGTACCCAGAGAAAACAGAGGGGAGGGGGAGAAGCCTAAATTGTTTGCTCTACTGGAGCAGCAAGATACAGTAAATCAAAACTGATTTACATTAAGTTTATAAGAAATTGGGTTGGGGTAGGAAGGAGAGGAGAAGAGTGGGAGGTTTGGTTTTAAACAGCTACTTGGAAGCTGCAGCTCTTGAACAGAGATCTGTAATTAAGGGCTTTCCTTTGTTGAGCTGAACAAGTTTCTCCTCGCAGCCGAGGGCTATAACAGTTCCCTCTGCCGGCATCCCCCGTGTCCAGGCTCGGGAGGTTTTCCGGCTCTGGCTGCGCCGTGCACAGGGAACACGCTGCCCTACAGACCCAGCAAAGCCCCTTCCCGTCCCCGACGGGCTGAGGGCGGTAAGAGGAGAGAGTTTGCGGGTGTCATTTCCCAAAGCTCAGCATCTCGTTTTCCCAGCCGCCCCCTGTCCCTGAGAGGGACAGTGCTCAGGCAGGTAGGGAGCCTCCCGCATCCCAGTTAGGATGCGGGCAGCCCAGCCCAGCCCGGCTCACTCCTGTGCCCTCCGCGGGGACCGCTGCCCGTGCGTCCCCCGGAGCCGCCTCTCCCGGGAGGCGTTCCCGGTCTTACTCACCGGCGACTGGCGAAGCCGCTGCCCGGCGAGCCCGAGCTCTGCTCTGGGTAGTTGTGCTGCAGGGTTGATGCTGGGAATTGGTAGAGGAAGCCCGTGCCCAGCGCGCACCCGTGCAGGCAGCAGCACCAGGACAAGAAAAGGGCGAGCTGCATTTTTGCGAGGACGGGCTTTTCCCACCGCCTCCCCCTTCTCCTCTTAGACGGCGCGGCAGGCGCGGGGCCGCACCGCGCTCCCCGGCCGGGTCAACGCGGGATCCCACGGCACGGGAGATGCCCCCGGGAGCGGGGACCACGGGGGGCGCGGCCCGAGGACACGGGCTGGGCCGCTCCGGCTCCCGAAGGGAAAGCGCGTCCCTCGGCAAGCCGAAGCCCGGCGGCTGCTGCCCGCGCAGGGGTCGGGGCCAGCGCGGCTCGATGGCGCCCAGGGCGCTCACTCAGCCCCGGATGCCTTTTCAAATTTGGCGAGGTTGGTCCGACTCCGTCAAAGGGGGCGTGGGGCTTCGGCGTTAACCCTTGCCAGGCCTCGCGGCAGACCCCGCTGCGAAGGGGCTCCGAGGGTGCGGGCACCCGGGCACCCCGAGCCCGGGCCGGGGACGCTGAGCCGCGGCCCCGCGGGGCACGGAACGCCCGGGGCTGCGCGGGCCCCCGGGGCAGAGCTGGCACGAATACCCACCCCCAGCCGAGAGCCAGGTCGAGGGCAATCCACTGCCCAAAAGCCTGTGCCTGCTGCCATATTCATACTGCAGAAATTACACAGATAAAGGAGGAAATAAATAATTTTTAAGACGCTTCACTCGCAAGGTAACCAGCGAGAATGTGATCTCTGCTTCAGTATGTGCATCCTGCACATTCTGGCATCACATGGGGACACGGCTCAGCCGTGAATGTGACAGTGTGGGGTTGGCTGTTGCACTCAGTGGCCTCGAGGTCTTTTCCAACCTGCGTGATTCTGTGATTCACAAACACTCTCTTTGCCACCACTTCCCACAGACCACCTCTGCCTATCATCCAGCATGGCCCTGAGCTTGGAGAACTGCACAGTCAACCCCAGACAGGAGGAACATTTTTGCAGGAAGGATGTGGGTGTTTCACAAAGGCACTACCCTGAGAAGGAAGGCAGCAGCACAGCTCCCTCTCTGTACTGCAGCAGAGTCTGTGTTTAAAACCATTGTACATCTCCCATTTGGCTGCAGTGTCACAGACCCCATTTGCTGGCCTTTCAGCATTCCCTCCCAGGTCAAGAGGAACCTGGGCTGCTGCAGCTCCTGAATGGGCAAGTGACTCATCTGAGCCGAACTCCACAAGGAGAGACTTAATTTTTGAGGTGACACAACTGTCTAAGTTTTTTCCCCTCAGATCCTGCAAGCTCTCAACACTGCCTCAGCACCTTCACTGTGTGACCATCCAAAGACAGCCCTGATGTACCACTGAAACACATCTTTTGCTTTCATGCCAGGGGCCCAAGGCCTCTCTGTGGGGCTCAGCAAGGGCAGAGACTTCTTCTCCTCAAGAGCAACACAATTCCTATAAGATACCACAGCTGAAAAATGTTACCCAAAAGATACTGGGAAACTCCACCATCTTGTATCTGGCATTTGTTCTCCACCCACAGGTGAACACCTACCCCTTCCCCCACAGTGCCCACCTCCAGAGCCTGCACACAGAGACAAATGGCCCCTGGCTGGAGCCTGTAACCAGACAAGTTTAGACTGCAAATGAGGCACCAGGTTTTTCAACAGCCACTGTCATTAATCACTGCAGCAAATCCCCCAGGGAGGCAGAGGTACAATCTGCACAGCAGCTCAGCACGGCCTCCCTGGGGGTGCCCAACAGCTGCCCCCGGGTGTGCCAGACCCAGAGCTGGAAAGAGCAATGGACCAGCACTCTGAGCTCAAAGAGAGCCCTAAAAGCCTGGTGCAGGAGCACTGGATCACCAAGCCCACTCAGAAACAGGCACTATTTATTTACAAAAGGCCCGCAGTGCCTGAAGCCAGGATATAACAGGCCCCTCTGTCCCCAGCCCTGAGCACCCTTCCCTTTAGTCTCCTCTCACCCTCAGCAAGGGGAACATTTTCCCTGCCTTTCCCCCCACAAGAAAACACAAAGCTCCCAGCAACTCACCCTAGGATGCTCAGCCTCTCAGCCATTCTGCTCCAAGTCAGTCCTGAGGAACCCTCTACTCAGCCTGACAGGGTAATAAAAGAAAACACCTACTCTCTGGTCTCCCCTCTCAGTTGGGCTACAAACCACACCAAATTCACTTGTCTTTTGAGGAAGCAGTCAGGAACTGGAGCACCCACAAAGCAGTTTTTGAAGGCTCCCCTCCCCTTTAATCTGGGTACTCGTCCTCAGCTGTGTGTGCTCAGCCCAAGTGGGTTCAGCTGGACATCCAACCACCAGCAGTTTGTTGCAGCTCCAGGCTGAGTGCTGAGGGCTGGGATCAGCCTTTTGTCCCAAACACACAAAGTTCCCCTCTCCTGACAAGCTGGGATAGATCATTTATCAATATTTAATGACACTGAACAGCACCAGTGGTTTTCTGACCCATTCTCCTGGCTTGGGTTACCCCCTTCAGAAGCTCTTCATAGTCTTTAAGTCTTAACTCCCCAAGAACATTTCATTTTCGGCTGCATGCAAAATTTGCTGCTTCAGCCTTCACTGATTTTGCAAGACCCTGGGAGATATTAAACACAGGTGATTAGACAAGACATGATTCTGGCAAATTATTAGAGACATCTGTAGGAAGCTAATGGTCTTCCTATTTCATGAACTGAGAGACTGGAGACCAGAGGTCAAATGACTTTGCTTGAGACTGGAAAGAGCTAAAGGCAGAGCCAGAAACAGAGCTCAGATCTCCAGACTCCCATTCCTTCTGCCCTGTCCCTAATGCACACTTGCTTCTACTCTGTATGGCTGATTTGAAATGAAAATGAAGAATTGACTTCCAAGCTGTTTTTGGAAAGGGAGGAGAAAGGGTGATATTGTCTACTGTAAGGGGAGAATTAAAGATGACATTTCATTTTAGTCCTTTGGATATGTGTAATATAATCAAACACAATAGCAGTAATAAATGAATATTTTTTCTCCCCACGGTGCTTACGAGTGCAACATATTCTAACAATTTCTCAAAACTATGTTGATAAATTGGAAACACAGTGATGGAGGTAACAAAGACAGCCAACAAAAACATAATCCATTCAATTTATCAGAGGGACTGGTTTTGAGAAGAGAACCCTTGAAATCCGAACAGTCCTATTCTTACAAACCAGACGTAATGTATTTCAAAATATACAGCTACACTTTCTATGCCTGAGCATAAGCATGTTAATTAAAGATTTGCCCAGGCAATCAGGGCTAAATAAATTATCTGGATGTGTTTCACCCACTCAGTTCACAATGGAGGAGGCAGGGTGGGTACTGGAAAGCCACGATGCAGGGAAGCACGAGGGGAAGAAAAGTAAAGAGGTAAGGGGCAGGTTTTTAATTTACCAACCCTATACACTTTACTGTCATGAAAAAGCAGCCCTTGGAGGGCTGTCCTTCCATGCAAGTGACAGCCTTACACTGTCATGTCAAAGAATAATCCACTGGATGTGGATTGTGTGGGCACTTAGAGTTTCACATGGTCTGCAGTGTTTTTCAGCTTCCTAGTCCATCAGGCAAACCTGAGACATAAGATATTAGAAACTGTTCTGTGAAAATATCTATAATTTCTTTAAACATACACACCCCACATGCAAGCCAGCTAAGAAATGAAGTAGGGGGAATACAGACAGTAAAAGGAATATTCAAAGTTTAGTCTGATTTATGTTCAGTGGAAAGGGAAAAAAAGGAATGATACAGAGAAAGAGGGGTTTGGTTTCGATGATGTTTTCAGTTTGAAAGGTGGCTCAAAAAGGTAGAAAAGCACTGTTGTACCTGTGAGCATCTCCAGAGCTGTAATGCCATCTCAACTCTTCAGCACCACTTACAGTGGGACAAAAGTCAGCAGTTAGCTGAAAAAAAGAGTCAGAATGTTATCAGAATCACGGCAAACAAACTCTGAAAGGCCTACCCCTTGGATTTAGTGAGTGCACCTTTCATGCAGATACTGAGAAGAAACTAAAGGAAAACCAGCTTTGTTCTAGCTGATAAAACCTTGTGGAGCTTTAGAATTATGAAGTGTCCTTTTGAAGTGAGAGTAAAGTAATTGATAAGATCTTCTAAACCCAAAAATCATTTAGATAAACCCCTTCTAGCTTCTCAAAATGCCTAGATTATTTCCTTGTGATATACAAAGCACTCAAGAAACCTTGGAAAATTGAAGGAGATGGATAAGAGGTTAGTAACAGTAAGAGTTCAAGACCTCTACTATAAATTAAATTATAAGATTACTAAGGTTATTGTAACATGTCTGTTACTGAGAAGTCAAACCAAACCTGAGGCAAACTAAAAATTTTAGGAGACTGCAGTGGTTTTCCTTTTAAGCTGGAGAGAATAGTGTGTGGACATTTCTTGAATTTGACCTGGAATAAATCAATCACAGCTGAACTCAAAATGGAATAGAATTGGAAAAAGTCACACTTACACCAGCAGTTCAGCCTACAGTAAACCTGGTAGATGGTGTTATTGTGTGAAGCACAAGAAATGATCCAGAAGTCATGACTTTGGCAAAATTCATTGACCATAGATGAGAATGTTGTCTGAGTGAAGCACTTGTGTGGGTATTATAAAGCAATACAGGGGATAAAATAACTCAGATTGAAGCATAATTCAGCAGATGAAAAATGTGATGACTCAAGAGATCAGCAAGACAATGACTGTGTCCGGTGGAATTACACATACTCTGAGCATGATTGTGCCCTGGGAAAAATGATTTATGCCACCTTTGATGTCAGGCACTGATCTGCACAAGCACAGGGAGTTTGTGGGCACACCCTTGATCCATCAGATCACCAAGAATGCAATAAAGCAGGGGTGCACTCAGGTGGGATAAAGCCAAGGCAGAAATAGCACCAAGTCTGTTGCACTCAAAGCTGCCAGAGGAGAAACACGTTCAGAAGTAGCCAGGAAGGACTGGAAGAGTTACCTAACCCCTCTTCCTTCTCCCTGCTAGAAGGCAGGATCTATTATACACAGATTATTGTTGGCACACATTTTTCTGCCTTGTTCTGAAAAACCTCAAGGCAGAAACTCCCCGTGGTCATCTGAAAACACACTTCAATATTTGGTGCTCTGTCCTGGTAGTTTTTCTTAACATCCCATCTCAGTCTGGTTTATTGCAATTTAAGCTCCTAATGGCTTACTTTTCTCATTATGGATACAGAAAACTATTCCTCCTCTCTTTTAAGAGACTTTTAATTCCTCAGTGTACTTTTAAAAATGTTTTAACACCTCTCCTTTCCTTCTAGAAGCAAAACAATGGCAACTCCTTCAGATTTTCCCTTCAGGTCACGTGTTAGATAGTTAGGTAGAGCTGTTTGGGTATTCTCCTCTGGACTTGCCAGCTGGTCTATATCTTTCTTATGGTATCCATGACCTCTACTTCTGTGGAATATCACTGCCCTGCTGAGGATTTGCCTTTTTGACACCTGTACATCATTGTTAATCCATGTTTAGTTTGGGATCCTCTACCTTTTCTGCAGAACTGCTGGCCTGACATTCCCTCATCCTGTACTTGCTAGTTAAAGTTATTCCTGCCAAAGCACAGTGCCCTGCAGTTGTCCTTAATGAGTTTCATCTTATTTTATTCAGATTATATCACCAATTTGTCAAGATCACTTGAAATTTTAATCCTGCCTTCCAGTACTCTTGCATTCGGTTCCAGCTTTGCCTCATCTAGAGATTTAATAAACTCCCTCTTCCATTGCTGAGGTCACTAAAGAAAACATTGGGAGGTCTGTCTCCAGGTCTGTATCCTTGAACCATGTTCCTGTTCATTAACTGCTCTTTAAACATTATTCAGTCACTGAGGGCTGCCTGCTTGCTTGATGCTGCACAGGACATAAACACTGAATTTATAAATCCTCCAGACCACAAACAACCTTGAGCTTCTATAACAAAATGAAGCACTTTGTAACGTGCAGTGGGAGCAGCTACCAGAGACCAGGCTGCAATTTTTATTGGAGTCACTGACTGCAGGATATCCACATTCAGTGGTATCCCAATGCTTAGCTGGTTTTGGAAACCTGTCCTGAGCCACGGACTCTCTGAATCTCAGACATGCAAGAACTTTCATGCCCAAAGAATGTCTCAGTTTTTGGACTCTGGCCCCAGAATCCTCGTACTTCTCTCAATTTCCCCATGGACCCAGGTTGCCTGACTTGAGGAATCCAACGTGAGTAGGAATCTCAGTTCCCTCTCTGTATTGTGCAAGCCACATAAGAGGGACTGGGCTCACCCCCTTCCTGACAGAATACACAGGTAAAGGCACACAAACCAGATAAGAAAGGAGTTATGGAAATAAGCATCCTCATCCCAGCTCCTGCACACCTGCCCTGTGGAACCAAGGAGAAGAACTGGGGGGGATGCAGGTGAGGAGTCTGGAGTCCCCTTTCATCCACACAGCAAATCTGAATGTTCCATCCTTATTTTTACAGCTTTAATTGGTTTTTTTCCAAATCTCCCAGGAACTTTCTCCATGAGCCATGACAATTAGGCCTAACCACAAGAGTCTGCTTTTCTTAGCTGGCTTTCACAGGGCCTTGGTCCTTCAAAAATTTGTGGGCTGCACCCTGAAAATCACTGCACTTGGTCCCATTGCACAGGGACCATCACCTCCACAGCAGGATCCTGCCCAGCTGAGAGCTGTAATTACCACCAGTATTTTCACCTTAGTTAAGGTGGATTAGCAGCAGCCACCTGCTTTCCCCCTCTTTTCTCCTCCTCCTTGTTCCCCAGTGTCCTTACCTGCCAGCCATGTCTTCACACTGCAAACTCCCTGCCAGTCAGTGCCTTCCTGCACCCCCCTTGCCTTGCCCGTGCTGGATCTCACCACAGGCTGCAGGTGTGTCCCAAAGCCTGGCTTTCACTGGCCCTGTGTGCCACTGGTCAACAGCCACAGCCCAACTGTCACACCTGCCTTTTCCTTACAGTTCTGTCTCATCTCATTCTGCTCTAAAGCACTGCACATCCACACTCACAGGGCTGCTCTGACAGCTGACATTACATATTTCTTGGAGCATTCCTATGA